ACCAACCTACCCGCCAGGTTGATGTAACAAATAAATGATGAACATTCTTGGTATGTAGTGCACACATGATAAATGCTACCTTCGTTGTAATCATCATCACCTCCCTTTCCTGGCTTCTGTTGTCAAATTCCCTGCCCTCCTTAGCCACTGACATTCTGTCTCCAAAGGTAAGCCTTGTGTCACCTCCTTTAAACTCCTCTCCCCCTGTGGGTCCATGGCTCTGTCTGTCTTCCTCTGGGCACCGCTGTGTTCTAAGAGCAACAATAAGCTCTTCCTTCACCCATATGTCCTGAGTCCTCCCTTCTACACCAGTGCTATGCCAGCCACTGAGGGACACTGTTGTGAAAGAGGCAAACGGGTCCCTGCCCATGAGACTTGTATACTCTGGAGGAAAAAAGATACGCTAAAGAAATAAATGTGTGGGCTGGGATTGTGGCTCAGTGGTAGAGCACTTACCTAGCATGTGTGAGGCACAGGGTTCGATCCTTAGCACCACTTAAAAAAAAAATAAAATAAAGCTTTGTGTCCAACTACAACTAAAACGAACATTTTAAAAAAAGAAGTAAATGTGTGTGATGAATTTCAAAAGGAACACTATACTGGTGACTCTGGGACACAGTAGGAACATAACTTAGTGTCTGGTCTGGGTTTGAGACTGGAACACCAACATCCTATCTGAAAAAGGCAAGTGGAAGTAGAGATGGAAACATAATTAAGTCAGGCCAAGTGGAGAGTAAGAGAATATTCCAGAAAGAAATGTGCATATCTTGTCTATCCCGACACGTTTTAATTTGCCAGGAACAGGGACTCAGCCTTATTTCCAGTAAGTCTCCAATAGAGCCTAGAAAGCCCCTTGTCCATGGGAACTGTTCAAAAATTATCAAAAATATAAAGAAATGTAGAATGAAATCACATCTTTAAAACAATAGGGAAACAAGCTCTTTTCTGTCCCCATATTTTCTGTATCTTCCTCAGGGTGGTTACACACATTTTGGAAACAAACAAACAAAAAAAATAACTAATAGTTCTGCATAGATCACCTCCCTTTGAGGCTGAGGTCTCACAAGATAGAATGAGTGAGGGTCATTTCCTCACTGGGGTCATTTCCTTATTTCCTCTGCCTATGTCCGGCTGTTCAAGTCACTTCAGTCCTTATACTGAAGTTCCTTTCTTAGTAAAACAGCAGTGTGGTCTTGGATTGGGACACCCTACCAATCAGCTTCACGTGGGGGTTTCACGGTCCTTTGTGGGTTCAACGACATTTGTTTTGATGAGAGACTTTCAGTTGCCTCTAATGAGGATGACCACAGGCTTCCAACCATCTTGCCTCCATCTGGGAGGGGGGACAGCTCTACACACTTCATGGCAAACCTGAACACAGGAATCTTTGCCACCATGGAGGCCGGGCTCATGCTCCATTGGTCACAAGGACCATTCCTAATCAGGTTCCTTCTTCCTCAGGGGGCCCAGGCTCACTGCCCCAGCTGACTTCTTGCTAGTATGGCTTCTCCAACCTTCTTTCATTATAGCAGTCTCCATGAGCAAGCCCTTTGGGAACCCTGGCCTCTCAAAGACATGAGTGGAGTTGACTTCATGGTGTCCGTTGGCACTCCTCTGCATTAAGACAGCTCAAAATTGTCTTGATGAAGGCCTAACTACCCTGATATTCCAGTGGGGAAATGTGAGGAAGTAAAGGATTTCCCTTTCTATCTCAACTTATGCTCTTCATTTTATACTTAGTCAATTTCTATGATCTTTTACTTTTTAAGAGAAAGAAAAAAAGCAGTAACAGACACTCAAATATTGGTCATGGCTGGTTTTCATTTTTACCCTTCAACCACGAACTCTGAGGACCCAAGCATACATCATCAGTTTTCATCAGTATGCAAATGAAAATCTCAAACACATGCTGGGCTCAGTGGTGCCCGCCTGTAATCCCAGCGGCTCAGGAGGCTGAGGCAGGGGGATCGCAAGTTCAAAGCCAGCCTCAGCAATGGCAAGGTACTAAGCAACTTAGTGAGACCCTGTCTATAAATAAAAATACAAAATAGGGCTGGGGATATGGCTCAGTGGTTGAGTGCCCCTGAGTTCAATCCCCAGTACCGAAAAAAAAAAAAAAAAAAAAACAACAACAACCCCCACACACACACAAAAAAAAAAAAACTGAAAACTCACTCCAGGCGGAGACAGGAAAGGTAAACCAGAGTGACCAGAGGGGTAAGCTTGAGGACTGTAAGTTAACGAACTTGGGACCTTGCCCTCTTGACCTGCTGATCCAGGGAACAGATTTCCAATGCCAAAGTGGGAGCTCCTGGAGTGAGATGGTATCTTAGGGTGGTTTTGATTTGCATTTCTCTGACTGCTAGAGATGGTGAGCATTTTTTCATGTACTTGTTGACTGATTGTATGTCCTCCTCCGAGAAGTGTCTGTTCAGGTCCTTGGCCCATTTGTTGATTGGGTTATTTATTTTCTTATTGTTTAATTTTTTGAGTTCTTTGTATACTCTGGATATTAGGGCTCTATCTGAAGTGTGAGGAGTAAAAATTTGTTCCCATGATGTAGGCTCCCTATTTACCTCTCTTATTGTTTCTCTTGCTGAGAAAAAAACTTTTTAGTTTGAGTAAGTCCCATTTGTTGATTCTTGTTTTTAACTCTTGTGCTATGGGTGTCCTATTAAGGAATTTGGAGCCCGACCCCACAATATGTAGATCGGAGCCAACTTTTTCTTCTGTCAGACGCAGAGTCTCTGTTTTGTGCACAATTCACAATAGCTAGACTGTGGAACCAACCTAGATGCCCTTCAATAGATGAATGGATAAAAAAAAATGTGGCATTTATACACAATGGAGTATTACTCAGCACTAAAAAATGACAAAATCATGGCATTTGCAGGGAAATGGATGGCATTAGAGCAGATTATGCTAAGTGAACCCAGCCAATCCCTAAAAAACAAATGCCAAATGTCTTCTTTGATATAAAAAGGGCAACTAAGAACAGAGCAGGGAGGAAGAGCATGAGAAGAAGATCACCCATTAAACAGGGATGAGAGGGGGAAGGGAAAGGGAGAGAGAAGGGAAATTGCATGGAAATGGAAGGAGACCCTCACTATTATACAAAATTACATATAAGAGGAAGTGAGGGGAAAGGGGAAAAAAAAGAGAGAGAAATGAATTACAGTAGATGGGGTAGAGAGAGAAGATGGCAGGGGAGGGGAGCGGGGAAAGTAGAAATAGGAAAGGCAGCAGAATACAACAGACACTAGTATGGCAATATGTAAAAACGTGGATGTGTAACTGATGTGATTCTACAATCTGTATAAGGGGTAAAAATGGGAGTTCATAATCCGCTTGAATCAAATGTATGAAATATGATATGTCAAGAACTTTGTAATGTTTTGAACAACCAATAAAAAAAAGTGGGAGCTCCTTTTCCCCACGTTAAAAGCAGGCTGGGAGTCACTGGTGGGTGGGGAGCCTCTTTATAACGCATTTAGAGAAGGCCCTTTAAAGTGGGAAATGTTAGATTGTTCCTGGAGGTCAGGACAAGGAGTGAGAGAGAGGAGAAAGAATCAAGGTAGAAAGGTGACTGGAGCCGGCATGGCTTTGGTCAGTTCTCTCTTTAAAAACAAAAACTGGGGAGATTTAGGGGGAAATGTAGGAGGATGCAGGAAGGGTTCTTGCTCAAAGTGAATGTGGCAAGAGTGTTGTAAAGGAGCCTAAATGCAAAAGGCTGTCAGATGGTGAAGAAGAAAATCACTGTGGAGCTGTCAGACCAGGGGCGTGTCCCTGAAATGGGACCTGGACTGGGGATGGAGAGTGACAAAGATCTGAATGAAGGCTGCAGCCACCTGAAAGAATTCAATGTGATGTGGTGAGCAGCACCACAGAAGGGAGATCACAAGTCTGGTTCTTGGCTTGGCAGGTTGCTCGCTCTTGGAATCAGTGGCTCCTGAGGCCTCTGACAGTTTCCCGTGTACTGGTGTGCAAACACCTCCCTGTTGTCTTCTGTGCCCTGCCCCTGGGGACAGGAAGGGAATGAAGTGTACAGTAGAAAACTGGTCCTGAAGCTGACACTTTCCTTCTGGTTTCTTTTTTTGTGGTTGTTTTTGGACACAATATCTTCATTTTATTTATTTATTTTTATGTGGTGTTGAGGATTGAACCCAGGGCTGCACACGTGTGAGGCGAGCTCTCTACCGCTGAGCCACAACCCCAGCCCATTTTCCTTCTGATTTCTAACAGTATCGGAGCCCAGCAAGGTGGCACAGGCTTGTAATCCCAGCAGTTTGGGAGCCTGAGGCAGGAGAATCGTGAGTTCAAAGCCAGCCTCAGCAAAAATGTGGTGCTAAGCAACTTAGTGAGACCCTGTCTCTAAATAAAATACAAAATAGGGTTGGGGATGTGGCTCAGTGGTCGAGTGCCCCCAAGTTCAATCCTCAGTACCAAAAAACAAAACAAAGCAAAACAAAAAACCAACAAAAAACAGTGAGGAGACTTTACAATTTACGTAATTTTGAAGCTGAATTGATACTTAAGACATTTACTGGAAGATGAGCACAAGGATGGCTTCTAAAGATAATAACTTGTGGTGTTTGTAAACCAGGAGACTCATGTCCAAGAGAACAAAGCACATGACTGAGGTCTCCTTGATTCTTGACAAAAGATCAGAGCAGAGTGTTACTTTTCATTCATTATCATTTTAGTCTCTCAAGCAGACACTGGAAGGGCCAAACCAATCCTCTGAAAAGATGGAGTCAATTCTGACTTCCCAGGTGAGGAGCTGTCAGGCTACACGATGCCAGGGCACCATCTGCTACTAGATTGCACCCCCTTTGAGCTGTGCTATAGCCACAGCAGTCCCCAACACAAATCCCTCTCTCTGCTGGCAATGATCTGACAACCTACAGATGGAGCACGTCAGAGGCACTTACATTGTAAGCAACATTAAAAAAAATGACATTCTTTCAATATTTGTATCATATTTTCATACACAGCCACTGTGGTGTAGTCTAATACATTTTTATTGATCTTTAAATATGTCCTTTCTAAGTCAATAATATTTTATTAACCCTTTAATCTATCGTTAAGTGGTTAACTTGGTTTCCTTTAGACAAAGATAACAGAATTCCAATGTGAGCGTCCCTGGTCCTGTTGAAGTGTTACGAGAGTTGGCTGTTTGACTCAAATGACACCTGTCCTGTCATACTCGAGAGTGAAGGAAAGGACAATTCTGTTCATCTGGAGATATTTTTTAAAAGTACACCGACACATAACTTAAATAAGCAACCTAATACATATTATAAACATACAAATTATGCCATTTTAAATAATATTTAATATAAAATGTGTCTGTAGTTGGCTAATTCAAACAAAATATCTTCAAGTAATTACAGGAGTCAAGATGGTCTATATCAATTTGTGCTTTAGAACTATTGCTAGCTTCCTCTGGGAAAAGCTGAAGTAACCATATATTGTACGAAAAAAGGTTTTTGCACATTTGACACAAGTACACATGTCAACACCAGAAGAGACATAATAACATCTAACAATCCTCTTTAAATTTTCCTGAAGCAAAAAAAAAATTTTCTATTCCATGAAATACATTTCTATGGTAATTATTAATTTAATGCTTTTGCAAGTATACAAGAGAGCTCTACTTTTTCCTTGGTCGAATGACAGCAAACATTATGTCTACATCTAGGAATATATATATATATATATATATATGTATACATATTTACATACATACATATTTAAGAACATCTAAAGAAAATGGACAGTCTCATACACATATTCAGAGTGTCACAGATATTCCACTTAGGTCCACATTAGTGAGCTTTATGTATTGCCAGTGTTCTATATGAATAGAGTAGAAAAGCAAACCTTCGCTAATGGAACTCCTCTCTATCCATTCATAGAAAATCTAGGTGGAAGTGGTATGATTAGCTCCCATAAGAAAAATGCCTGTCCTTCTCACCAAATTTCTCCTGGGTAAACATAAATGTAATTTGTTCTGGGAATTCAACATTCAGTTACACTGGCTACAGATGAATTGCAGTGACTCACTGTTTTTCCTGTGTGAAGGTAATATCCATAGAAAAAGAAATGTTCCAAGTGGAGAAAATACAGCTTCATGTAGATTAATTAATGAATTTCTCTGGGGTAAGCTTTACTTTTTTCCAACTTCAGTTGAAAGAAAAACAACTATGTATTTGTCTCAGATCCCTGAGACATATTATAGGACAGCTCCGATCCTTCCCAGATAAAGTGACTCATTATCTGTGCATAATCAATTGGGGAAAACCTGTATTATCAAGAGGGGATAGAATATGGGGTATAAATGAAATGATTCACATTCCTATTGTGTCACATTCACATACCATGGGTTCCCTGGTGAATCAAAAACTGTACAATTCAGTCGGTATTTTCTCTTTGATTATCTTAGGTTTCTGTTCGTGCTCTCATGCCAAATATATTCTATTTTCATTACAATTTTAATCTTTGGCTGATGAGAGTTCTTTTTAAATGTTCCCATTCCAGTTTTATACATAACCGAGGTTGCAAATGGAATTTATAATAGCAAAACAGGAATTATAAATCTGAGCTAAGGTCGAGATGAGGGAAATTAAGCATTCCAATCTGGGGCCCACTAAAGCTTCTATAATTCTCTTCTATTCCCTTGCTTTGTCATCTGTTGGATGGGTGTACAATAACAGTTCTCTCTTATGTCGCTTAATGGAAGGAAACCCATTTCATGCATTCGTTTTTTGGAGAAGGCTTACAATTATAGTATTTTAAATCTGAATGTATACCTAGGGGGTGGGGCAATTACTTGTTGTTATGTAATTTCTAATGATAGCATTGTTTAAAATTGCAGATTACAGAATAGGAAACACAGGTGCAATTTCAGAAGGCTAAAAAATAAGTCAGAGCTGAAATATGAAGGGCCTGAATGCCATCCAAAAGAATTTGCATTTTACTCTATAGGACCCATTATTTGGTGAAATTATTTTCACAGAGCATTTGTGCTAGAGGATGTTATTATGCTCAAGGCAAGCTCAGTTAAATACATTTGGGTTTACTTATAATAGGCCTTAAATATGCTTATGTGCATTGTGATTCTACAAGAGGGGGTTTTTATTCTTTTTCTCAAACTAAAGAATGTCACATAGTAATAGACATACAACAAATGTTAAAAAATGTTCCAGTTTGACATGGCAATGTTGGAGATGAAGAAAAGCTAGCTGTTATTATTATTTCAAAATTTTCTATGTAACAGGAAAGGAAAAATGAGGCTTGCCCTAACTTGTTCTTCCTAGGCTAAAACTGGTCCTTCTTTCCCTCTTACTCCCAAACTGAGCATTCCCAGCTCATTTTTAAGGGGTTCCCTCCCCCCCCCCACCAATTTCAACTGTTGAGTTAGACTTTCTGTTCTCTAACCAAATATATACATATACACACACGTGTGTGTGTGTGCGTGCATGTGTGTGTATACACTCATGTGTATATATATATCTACCTGTGCATTCTTTTTTTTTGGCGGCCAATAATAAACAAGTACATTCATGTTCCTGACTAATTTATGCTTTGACTATTTCCTCTCTGGATTACCTCCAGTTTTTGCCCATTCAATCGAAGGTCAGTTTACATATAGAGGAACTCTTGGTATCTAGAATTAGGGAGGAAATAGAAAGGAAAACTGAAATACTGACACTATTCTGCATAGGAATGTGTGATGAGAAAAGGAGACCAAGACAATATAACGGGTCCAAAATATTTGGTTAGTTTGTTAGTTACCTGTTCCATGCTGGTGTTATTTCATTGTTCTGCCAACAACTACAACCCAATAATTTAGAAAGGCTGTTTGTATGGCTTCCAGTATAATGTTGTTTTGGGTGTATACTGTGGTCATGTCAATGCATTTTCCTCTCAAATTATTTGGATGTTTACAGAAAATTCCTCAAATAGCTCAGTGGGCATCAGTGAGCCAGAAAAATTATTTAAAAGCCTCTCCAATAATCCTGCAAACTCTCCCTTCTATGTGAGATAGTGGGGTTCCACACTGATGCCAGCAAGTAAAAGAGAAGGAAGCAGAAGGACACTCTTTGATCCAGTGTTAACAATGAAGAGAATTTTAAAAGTTCTTCAGCTAGATCAGTAAAATCTAGAATCAAGCCAGTGGAGGCTGACCAAACACTTACAAATACGTTGTCTACATTTGTACTTATTTATGACTTGCATTTCCTTTTGAGGACAATTCTAAAGATGAACAAGATTTTTACATGGTCAGGATATTTACATTAGTTTGGCTCTTTAATGGCCTCCCATCGCCCCTCCCCTCCAATCCAAAGGCAAAAGCTGAATTTAAGGGTTTTTCATATGGATATCCCAAAGACAGCTTATCAGCCACAGGTTAAATATTTATGCACAAATGATTTTTGATGCATAGATTTCTTGTACTCTACAGATGAAGAGCAAAAATATTGCTATTATCAGTGGATTTTATTTACAGCTCTGTCAAAATTATGTGAAAATAATTATCTCCCAAGAATCATTCTAGACATCTTTCTATACAAATTGGAGTGAGTGTGTGTGTGTGTGTGTGTGTGTGTGTGTGTGAGAGAGAGAGAGAGAGAGAGAGAGAGAGAGAGAGAGAGAGAGAGAGAGATTGGTCATACAGATTAGCTCAAAAGCTATTCTGGCAAGTCTGATAAACTGAATTGCATGTAATGACCTTTAAATAGTAGGCTACTACCCAGAAAGAGATGACTTCAAGCTCAAATTTCTCATAGCAAGGCTAGGATTAAAGATGTGACAACAGACTTCAGAGAGAGGAAAAATCCATTCATCATAAAAAGGCCATTAAGCTCCAGTTGTAAGAACATCTTTGACTCAGAATCTTTTATTTCCACCAAGAAAACCACTTATGCTCATAGTTTAATATCCTAATTTGAAAAATGGAAGACACACTAAATTAAATTTTAATTTATACTGCACTTCTATGTCTGCTTTCTTTGTTTCTCTAATGCAAAATATGCACCAAATGATACAAATCATATGTATCATTTCCATCAGAGAATCTCACCCACCAAAACAGTGATGACGCAATCTTATTTTGAAGCCAAAAGATAGAAATATTAATAATTTGCAGATGCACTTTGAAAATAATCCTTGAAATTTCTTCAAAACAACATCATTTTAGGTTACAGCACAATAGCTGATGGAAAAGAGAACTCCAAAACAAATGATATTCACGAGTGTTTTAGTTAATTTTTTAGTGGGAAAATAACACAAAATTGGATTTTCACACAGGATTACAGTGGTCCTAGAAATAAAAAGGTTTTTCAATTTCTCCTCATTAAGGAAGTGAGACCATATTCCTGGGTCAATTTGTTTGTGTTTGTCCTGTCTCTAGTTCAGTCTTGATTATCTTTATGTCTCAGAATCCATGACATGGATTTAAAAATCTTTTTTATTTTCTTTGGGTGGTTCTGGGAATTGAACCCAGGGCCTCATGCATGCTAGGCAAATGTTCTACGATGATCTACATCCTCTATCTCTCCAAGGTTAAATTAAATAGATGCAGTGATCCCACAATACCCAGACTATTCATTTCTCTGTAAAGTGGAAGAAATTCAACTTTTAGTAATAGGAATTAGTTCTACCTAAAATCACTAATATAACTAATAGAATGTGGTCATCTTCAATAAGATCAATGCCCAGATCTTGTTTTTTAAAAATCCAACAACATATCCCAGTTATAACCCCCAACCAAGGCCAAATATCCAGCAACTTTGCAATCTATTTGTCCTCAGAGCTAAAATAAAACAGTGCTTCAACTAGTCTCTCCTAGTTTCACTTCAAAAGAAAAGGAAGTTTCCTTTTGAAAAGAGTCCCTATAACACTACCTGTTTCTTTTTTCCTTGTCTCTCAATTTTCTGAAGACTTTAAGTAGAAGTCAGGCCTTGACAATAAAATATCCCATCATGTATCAATATTCTGTTCATCTGAGAAACACAATAGGTTTCCTTGTTATCTTACACATAGAGCTAAATTATTACCTGAGAACCAGAATTTACCCCCTTACTTTATAAAAATACTGTTTTTAAAGGGTTACTTAACAGCAGAATCTTTTAAAATCAATATGTAACACTGAAAACTAATATACATATATTCTCATAAGAATTTCATCGTTGGGGGGGAAAATAAAATCTAAACTGTACTGAAGTGCATCGTCTATTGCTTCTTCAGATCTTTTTATATACACTTAAGCACAAATATACTGTGTGAAATGCTTTAGGTGCAAGGTGTTGTGCTTACCCAAAGATTTAAAAGATTATCAGTTCGTAGTATTTATGGAGCAAAGCATATGTGGGTTTAAAAATAATAAAATTGGATGCAAATTTAGGTAACCATTCATAACTTAGTGAAAAGATCGTGGTTCATCTTTTGGAGAAGTTGTCTCTGAAACAATCCAACTAATCACAACTTTCCTTTTTCTCTGCAATAATACACCAGTTGCCATGATCATTTCCGGAGCTCAGAATACGGAGCTCGGTCACGTTCTCCTGCAGCAGGTCACAGAGCTCACCTTCACGAAACACATGGTAGTAGCGCATGAAGGCTCTGGAATCCAAAATGTCAGGCTGTTGTTCTTGGACAGAAATTGTGTCATCTGGGTTGGAATCTGTAGAGTCGATGGTAGAAATCCTTCTCAATATTTTACTGGCAGAAGGGTTGCCTTCCTCTAAGCTACCTGCAGTCACATGATTCTCATTGGTATTGGTGCTGTCCCGAAGGCTCCCCTCTCCATTTCTCTGATTTTCTCCTTGATGGTCTCCATTTAAGTGCTTTGAAGTACCTGAAGCTCTCAGCCACTCCAAGTGTTTTTGAGAAGTTTCTACAAACACTTCCTCATCGAAGCTTGATGCTTTCGTTGAAAATGGCTCTTGGTGATCCAAGTCTAAACTGGAATGTCGAGAAGGCTGGATGGATACAGGGCTATTGGCCCAAACTTCTGTGGTTTTCAAGGGTCTCACTTTTTCAATTTGCTTCCGCAGAGTGGACTCATCCAAAGATCTGGAGAAAAACCATGAACGAAAAGATCTTCCTAATGTGTTATAGATGCCATTTTCTTCCTCACCTTCCTTTGAAGTGTTTCCACAACAGGTCCTAGCCATAACAGGTTCATAGTCCACGCTGTCGGACCGTTTGGAATCACATCGCTCTTTAAAACAAATGGAACAGCCATACTCAGGGCAAGGGGGGTGGTAGGGATGGCTTGTTTCTGGATGTCCACACTGCCTCTTTCTCCCGGACTGGCTGGATTCTGAGAAGGGCTGGGAACAGAAGGCCCTGTTCCAAGGAACAAGCACATCTTGCTTCTCAAAATGTCGGTTCTTTTGTTCCATTGCCCAAACATAAATCATCATCTGTCCTCTGGGAACTAAAACCCTGGCCATTTCTTTTATTGCTTGGATTCTTCTTTGTTTTGTAGAAAAATGGTGTATAACTGAAAAAGAGAAAACTAGATCTCAATGTGTGTATACACACATAAACACACTTAACATACATACATAATATGTTTGCACATAACAATGATGAAATTTTTACATATAGTAAAACCTCCTTCTTTCCTACATGGGAGGAGAGATGGAAGAAATAGCATAGGTTTTGGGGGATATAATTTTTGCTTTGGCTTCTGTACTTTTAGGCAGCTAATCTTGGGCCAGTTATTTAAATACAATCGATTTTAAGTTTCTTAAATCATAACAAGAAGCCTAGAATAAATAACCTCTGAGATCCCATTCCAAAATCCTGTGAATTTTGTTAACCAGAGGGTCAGGTCTGAATTACTAAAATTGTAAGGAATACTAAGTTAGGTAAGTGTTTTCTGGTAGGATTTTATAAAATGACTCACTGCTTTAATGAATGATTGTACTTCTATAGCAATAAAAAAATTAACATCACTAATTATTAGTGTCAATAAAATTAATAAAGCAAACAAAAATCAAGAAAAATGTTAAAGATTGCTTTTCTGTCTAAATAATATCAAAGATACGTCAGCCTACCACAAATCCAAATGATTACATGTTTTTTAAAATGCTAATATACTATTGTGTGTAGTTAAACAAATAAATTGGTAGATTATCATTTTGCTTCCAATCCCTTCAAAATGAACCTCAAGCAAAACTGCCTTTATCTAGGCTTATTTTTATCCAAAATATGTAGAAAGTGTTAGTCTGTTAGTTCTTGGAGGAATCTAATCACAGTATTGTGTCAAGAGAAAACATCAAATTATTTTTCTAAACACAAGTGCACTATATATCTCAGTGAGAAAAGGAGTCCCAAGCAAAGCTGGGAGACTCTGGCTCCCATATGAGCAGTAAGGGCAGACAGTGGCTAACACCACTGCTCTAAAGCTCACCATAATCTTGCTGTCAGTAGTGATTTTAGGTATATTAATGTCTGCAGTTTACCTGCCACAGAGATATATTAAGTATCTAAAATGAGACTCATGTGTAGATAAAACCGTTAAAGGCAGTTCATGCAAGAGGCAAACTGTATTAATAGCCATCAGATTTTTATTCCAATCAAGAGCATACAAACCCTGCTATCTTTACCATGCAGCAGTGTGAGAAAGCTAGAGGTGTGAGGGTTAGATGTGTTGAACAACAAGACACCAGCATATTCCAACCCAGATCTATCAAGAGCTAGCCTTGTGATCTTTGACCAAGCACTCTGTCTTACTAGGCCTTAGTCTTCTTTTCCCAGTCCCCAGAAAGAGGGCCCTTTATGGACCCTCAAATGCTTCATTTGAAAGCATATTTTTCTAGAAGTAGTTCTTTGGTCAGTGAGCTACAAGGAGGCCTAGGGGTCAGAATTGAGAAAGACGCAATGCATTGCTGATGTTTATATCTTATCTACCACTGTTCAGGGCTGTTGACCTCTCCCATAACCTGTGCCTGATGCACTCTAAAATTTATACGGGTACTTTTTTTTTTTTCCAAATTTTAATTTGTTATATATGACAACAGAATGCTTTACAGTTCATATTACACATATAGAGCACAATTTTTCAGATCTCTGGTTGTACACTATGAGTACGTTTCTAAAATACAACCTATTCTCATTATTCACAGATTCTGTATTTGCAAATTTGCCCACTTGCTAAGATTTATTTGTAACCCTCCAAAATGAACAGTCCCAGACTCTCAGGGTCATTCATTAGCTTGTGCAGAGAAGCAATTTGAGCCTTTCAAAGAACATGTTCCCAGCTGAGGTGGAACAAAGTAACCATCTCATTTTAATTTCAACTCTAATACTGTAAACAAGTGCTCTTTTCATGGTCTATTTAGTTCCCTGTTTAAAACAGCCTCCAAGCATAGCACTGTCCTATTGTCTGGGCTCCTAAGCACAGAGGCTGTGACATAATGTGCCCCAGGGAGAAAACACAGGAGCTATATGCACTTCATCCAGGCATGACTGAGAATGCTGTTGGCATGAGCTTAAAATTAAAGTGAATTTAAACAGAAACATACATAAAACAAGTTTATATATCAATTGGTTATTGACAAAGATATATATTGACAAAAATGCTAACCAGCAGCTTGCAGGAATCCCATCCTGTATTCCTTCTGGGGTCACAAATACCCACAAATTTCCTAATTTTGTGTTCATGGGAACTTTTATAGAACATAATTCATGTGACTAGTGACAATTTATTGTGTTGCTTTACAAAGGCTATCAAAGGAAAAAAAACACAACTGAATTATTTTATGGTAGACTGATAGGTCTCTGATATTTCAGGATTCCATTCAGCTTCCAAAGAAGTTTTATATTTTAAGAAAGAAAGTCTTTATTGATTTATTGATGAGTAAGTAACAATTCACCTCTAACATATTTTCACCCAGAAAAATCTGAATATTAAACATGTAATAAGTAACAACTTTAAATCAACGTTTTGGAGGAAAAAAAAGGTTAAAAATAAAGATTTCTTCATTACATATAAAATGCGACACACATGCATATACATAATCTATTAAGAAGCATTGCAAGTGTATTTGCAATGGGACACAGAATTTATCCGAAATATCAATGTCAGGAAACTATGTTGAACTTTTAAAAGATGAAAAGAAGTCTCCCTGTTTATAAATCATAATAAAAAATAGCTTAAAGGCTGTTTTTTTTTTCTATAGCAATATTTTCCTGCTAAGATGCTAAGAGCCTAGAAAATAGATAGGTTGAATTCAATTACTGGACTCCAGAATCAGGTGAAAAGTGACACAAGATTACCTTTAAGGTCCTGTCATATCTTGATATTTTATGATTTACTGTTATTTAATTTTAAGAGTGTGGTGTTTATCTCTCTAAGCATAAAGAAGTTATAGGCTTAGTGTAAAACCCTAACCCTACTGACATTTGGGTATAGATAATTCTCTGCTGTGGGGAAGCCCCCTTAGATGACATTAGCACACATTCACCTACCCATTTTAACCATCAAAAATATCTCCAGACATTGCCAAATGTCCTGGAGGGATGGGGGAGAGGAGTAAATAACCCCCCAGTTGTAACTTTATTTATATGTGGTGCTGAGAATCTAACCCAGCTCCTTACACATGCTAGGCAAGTGCTGTACCACTAAGCTATAACCCCAGCCCCAGAATGTTTCTTTTTCTAATGTGTCAGTAACACATGATGAATATATAACTAGGCATGATTCTTATCTCTCATATTATTATTAAGAGATACCAAAAAGTAAAATTTTCATGTAAAGATAAGCAAAACGTGCCAAATAAAAAATTTTAAATAGGGAAAATAGAAAAATGTAGACACGAAGAGTCTACTGAAATTTCTCATACTTTTGTTCTAAATGTGAAACATAACTGAAAATGACCATACCCCATTAATTCATAGTTACAATTTATAAAAAGATGTGCTATTTTTCCACCTAAGGGAGAGTCTTAAATTGGAATAGCAATCAGGTGTGCTAGTCGTTTCTGTTGCTGTAACAGATTACCACAGACTGGGTAAATTATAAACAATACAAGTTTATTTGGCTCATGGTTCTGGATGCTGAGAAGTCCAAGATCAAGGGACCAGCATCTGGCAAGAGCCTTCTTGCTGCATCATAACATGGTGGGGAGCATCCCATGGCCAGGAAAGAAGAAAATCTGCCCAACTGATCCTTTCATTTGAGGTCAATTTCCATGATAACGAAACCACACCCACCATACCACCCTTAATACATTCACAAGGGGCATGCCCTCTTAAACTCGTAAAGGTCCCACCTCTTAATATTATTATGATGGAAACTAAATTTCAACATGGGTTTTAGAGGGGACATTCGAATCATAGCATCAGGTACACTCCATTTTCTCTGAGGAAAATAGAGGATTATCCAGATACACAAGGAACATTTACTCAAAGTCAAAAAGCTGGTCAATATTCTCTTCCTCAGCAATGGCTCCGTGGCACAGCCTGAATGTAGATATCCTCAATGGTCCTAAAACTAAGGCAAATGAAAGAACAAAGAGAACTCCCTCTGATCTCTAGTTCTTTCGGTGGAATGACTAAGCCATAAACTTTTCCCACAAAAGATTCAAAACATTGCCTAATGTTGCTTCCTTCAACAAGAATCTTAGTAATGTTTATGTTCCCCCAAGATTCATGTCCAGGTCCTACCCCCAGCGTGATGGTGTTAGGAGGCAGGAGTTCTGGGAAGTAATTAGACTTAGATGAGGACACAAGGGAGGGTCCCCATGATCAGCATAGTGCTATCATATGAAACGACCTTGTGAAGACATCGCAATAAGGTAGAAGACAGCAGCCATCTATTAGCCAGAAAGAGAGCCTTCACCAGAATTCAACTCTGTTGGTACCTGATTGCTCTGACTCTCACCCTTTAGAATTGTGAGAAATAAGTGTGTGTTGTTCAAGCCATCCAGTCTGTGATATTTTGTTACTGCAGCCTGAACAGACTAATTCTTACAACCAAATGGACTAAACAGTTTCAAGTGTAGAGAAGTAAGATGTCACAGAGCAGGTTCCCATGGCAACCACCTCTTGTCAGTTCTAATCAGTTCCAAGGTTATGGTATCTCGGCTGGCATCCCTAATTGTGCATAGTAATGTAGTTGAACCAACCAAATCCTCATGTATTTCAGGAAAGAGAAAATAGTCTTATTCTGTATTTCTTCATGAATAGTAGTAGTCAGTTTTATGTAAGTTCATTTTGCTTTGATAAAGTTGTTATATTCAAATAGACTAATTTTTAAGTGTTTTGGAGCAAGTAGTTGACTCTGAAAAAGATTTTCCATTGCAAAAGAGCATATCATGTGATTCCCTTAAATATAAGGTTTCTTAGCACATTTATAAATGACTAACATATTAGGTATCAGGAATATATTTCAAGCACTTTTTTTCTTTCTTACTTTTTTTGGTATATGTGTTTTCTGGGCATATTTGTTGGAAAAATATGAGGAACTCGTTCCCTACACTCATAAACAATCCCTGGCATTAAGGAACAGAATGGCATCTGGGACCAGGTGGAACCCAACTTCTCCAGGAACTTGAGTACCAGTAAATGGCAGTTGATCTTGATAACATTTGGTTTTATTAGTCTTAGAATTATGTTAATAAAGGGCACTATTGTAGCCTGAAAAAGCCAATATGATGCCCCCAAATCTACTTCATTTTGGAGGAGCCTGGCTTCATTTCAATAGAACAAAGTACCATTTTCAATGAGCAAGATTTCTCTAATATTTCCTTATTCATTAGTGAAAGAAATGGGAATTAATTACCAAAAAGAATAGAATAACAGCTTAAAGGTTTAAATAGTTATAACAACATATGTACCATAAATGTATTTGAGATTAGCCAAATAACTCAAGCAGCTGAAATATTTTTAAAAATTAGATAAAATGGATTACATGACCACTCTATATACAGAATAAATGTTGAGTCATGAGAGTAGCTTCAACCATGTAAGTTATTCTCATGGCAAAATATGAACATGTGGCCCTGCTGCCTTACCTCCTATGGAGATGATGGCATCGAAGCCCTGATCCCTAAAGGGGAGATTAAGGTTGTCACATACCATGACTTCACATCCTCTACTCCGGGCAATCTCTACCAATGGTCCACAGTAGTCACAGCCCAGGGTATGTACCTGGCTGTTTACTTTAAGATACTTTCCAGTTCCACACCCTATAAAAGAAAAACCTGTGTTATATGCAATCTTTAATAGAGAGTGGAAAATAATTTTTCTCACAACAATCAATATGAAGTTTACATTAAATCACCAAGGTAGAATATGAGTGTGAAGGTATTCACGGAGGCAAAGGAAGAGGCTTCAGAGAGCACTCACATACTTTCATATAGAAGAGAAAAGAGAAATGGAATGGAAAAAAATATTTCTTGAATAGTCACTGAGTTAATGCCCTTAGGACTGACTGAGCACACTTGCATAACTAGACATGTTAGCTAGCCCATTGCTGGGAATGACAGTTTCAGCAACCTGAACGAGGGACAGACAGGGTATAGTCTCTGCCTTAATGTGTATTCCCATTGTGCATGTGTGTATATTATAGCATTTGTTCTCCTGATGCTTCTCCAAAGATTCTTATCATTTGCCCACTAGGTTCAACTACTGCCATCAACTTTCAGTAGCTATAAATAAAAGAATTTACACAATAAAACACACTCTTAAAATTTTTTAAATCTGAAAGGGGTGTTGCAGCTCAGTGGTAGAACGCTTGCCTCGAATATGTGAGGCACTGGGTTTGATCCTCAGCACCACATAAAAATAAATGAATAAATAAAATAAAGGTATTGTGTCCATCCACAACTAAAAAAATATTAAAAAACAAAGATGGCTCATGTGGACTTCTTAAAATTTTTCGAAAATCTAAATATGAATAAAAAAAAAGAATTGTTAACATCATTTCATTCAATTATTATATTATTGCCATTACTTATCAGCTTTGGTAATACGTCATGACACTCCTTAATAACTCCTCCTTAATAGGTGCTTTTCAAACTTCTAAAAAAAAAAAAAACAATTTAAAGTCCTCTGATGCCAGATGAGACAGTGGAGAGCATATGGATAAATTTAACATTTCCAACATTATTATCTCAATGAGAATGACTGAGGTCTTAGAAATGTTAGATCTCACAGCCCCTGTTCCTAATGCTTATGAGAAAAAGCCCCATTGTTTGAAGGTAATCATGGGGAAAATATATTTCACCATGTATTTTAAAATTGAAATCCTGTATATTTCAAAGATGATAGTTATACTTAAAAAATCTTGCAAACTCATTTGCTTATTTATTGGCTTGAAAGATATATTTGGAAAAATGAAAGAGAAAAATCACTTTAAAGATACTAATAAAAACAGGTTAATAAACCATTACTGCTGGAAGGAACTATTCAGAAAACATTTAGTAAAAAAGAAGAAACTGAGGTATTTTCAAATTTAAACAGTGTCTGATACATTTCCAATGTCCTGGCATCCTTGATTTATCCCATATTCATTTCTAATGACATTAGATTTATCCCATATTCATTTCTAATGACATTCACTTTTAAAGGTAGTAGTGGAACTTCCAAATATGATGCAATTATCCATATTCTAAGTGCATACACTGAGATGCGAATGAGGGGAAGATTCCATCCTCACAAAGAAATCAAGAATATTGCCAGGCTAAATTGTTCCATTATTTTCAATGTAAATCAGAAGCTGAATACTGTGGCACGCTTCAGTCCACAATAATCACGCTCCTTTACAAAATCTCATTAAATGATAACGCTGCATAGTACTAAAGAGAGATACGAGGAACTGTCTGCATGCTTACAGTCTCCTGGATTTTGTATTCTGCACCACACTATGGTTAAAGGAGAGAACAGATAATTGTCTCAATTCAACAAAATGTTTTGGTCCAGTATGGGCAAATATTTGCTGATATACTAATACAAACATTCTCTCCAAAGTTTTGAAAAAGAATCACATTTTTAAAATTGAGAGTTCTAGACTAAAATCTTCTCTGAAAGAGAATTCTCTTTTCCTATGACAAAAAAAAAGGCAAATGCTATATGCATTTTATACACAATTTCTTAAGTCGAGGAATGAGGAAATGTTTTATTCTATTAGGCATGGTGTCTGCTGTATGGGATTTAGTCAGTCAAAAATGACTATTGATACTGAGAATAAATACTTTGAGAGTTAAGAGGCAAATGGAATCCTAATTATTGACAAGTTAATTTTTATGTACACAAAAATAACATTTTTAAGGGGCTGGGGTTGTGGCTCAGTGGCAAGCAATTGCCTAGCATGTGTGAGGCACTGGGTTGGATCCTCAGCACCACATATAAATAAAGAAAGAAAGAAAGAATAAAGGTACATCAACAAGTAAAAAATATTAATTTTTTTAAAGATTTTAGGATACTTTTCTTTGGGGTCAGGAAAAAAAAGGGAATTTTTCTCAAAAAAAAAAAAAAAAAATCCAGCTCTGGACTTTCTCCTACTTTCTAAATTCATGCAAGTGAAGATTTCAAAGCACACAATGCCCTCCATGTCTGATGCACTTAAAATTGACCGAGGTGGGGGAGTGTTAGGGAAGAATAGAGGTACTTTGGATTAGACAGAGGGGAGTGAAGGGAGGGGAGGGGATACCGGTAAGAAGGATAGTAGGACGAATTGGATATTATTACCCTATGCACATGTATGATTACATGACCAGTGTAATTCTACATCATGTACAACTAGAAGAATGAGAAATTATACTCCATTTATGTATGGTGTGTTTCAGGTCAAGGTATTGCCATAATTGCCCAGGTCACAGTATTGCCTGAAAGTACTGTGGTGTTCCTGTTCTTTGAAGTTGTTTTAAGTTAGGCCACATTTCCTGCTCCTTTACTCCCTGATTCCAAGATTTAGCTTCCCTCTGAGAGTGCCTGCCACACACCTCCGCCAATCAGCTTGGCTAGGGCACTGGGTGATGCGGTGAATAACATTTCAGTTAACTAAAAGCTTCCCACTAAACTTGTGAAACTGCCTAGACATTTCCAGTCTGGGAATTGGAACCTGGTTACTGCTGAATTTTGTTTTACTACCATGTTTGACTAGTTTTAACTCATTATAATTAATTATAAATTGCTAATGTAATAACCAGTCAAATTAAACAGCATAACAGTCGGTTTGGCAACATAAAAAAACTAGAAATCAACTTTCCTTATGAAGATAGTCATATTATCAGGTTGTCTTTTCTTCTGCTCATCCCTTTGGACTCCTTTCTTTCATTTTCTTCTATTTCTTCCTTAACTTTATTTTATAATATATCCTTCCTTTTGTCATCAAAACATTACTGCTTATTGACTAGTTTAAAAGTGTGAATTATACAAAATTCAAAACATATGTACAAACGGGCAGAGAAATATTTGTTACCGATCCAATTGTTGGTTCCCATTAAAGTGTTCAAAGAATATTATTTGCTCATAATTTGTAGCAGTAAAGTACATAAAATAACATACTGTTTGTTAATTTGTATATAAAATAACATATTGTTTGTTAACTTGGCACTATTAGTATAAAATGCTATGTAGTTTTAAATCTTACTCAACTCTACAAATGCCCAACCGTACACATTCCTAGAGGCACAAAGATACTTATATTTACATAACCTATCCCAAGGTACATAAGAAGCTAAGAGCATGGTTACCTCGGGCATGGGTTTATTTGGTACCAGGGACTGGGATGAAGATGTTTTGCACCCTTATGTGTCTTTGTTGCTGAACCTTGTCAATGGATTGCCTATCAAAATATCTTTAAGCAGTTTGTAAACAGCAACTTAAAAAAAACTATTTGTTCATATCCTTTTCCCATTTTCTTTTGGTTGTCATTTTTTTGTGTGTGTGTTGGGGGAGATACCAGGGATTGAACTCAGGAGCACTAGGCCACTGAGTCACAACGCCAGCCCTATTTTGTATTTTATTTAGAGACAGGGTCTTACTGAGTTGCTTAGTGCCTTGCTGTTGCTGAGGCTGGCTTTGAACTGGAGATCCTCCTGCCTCAGCCTCCTAAACTGCTGGGATTAAAGATGTGTGCCACTGTGCCCAGCTTGGTTGTCATTTTTCTTCCCCCTTTTGAAATTATTTTTTTCGTCTAACTGAAACTCTGCACCCTTTAACCAAAAACTTCCCATTTCCCTCCCCTCCCTCCCCAGCCCTGCCCCAGCCCTTAGTAACCACTATTCTATTCTCTGCTTTGCAAGTTCAACTTTTTAAAGTTGTTGCATATAATTGAAGTCATGCAGTATTTTCCTTCTATGCCCTGCTTATTTCACTGAACATAACATCCTCCAGGTTAACCCTACTATAACAAATGATAGGATGTTGGGCCTTTTTATATTGACTTAAAAATGTCTTGGAGATTAAGAAAATAATGTATTTTTTTTCCTATCAGATGTGTTGCAGATACTTCAGGTTGTTTTTTGTCTTTTGATTTCATTTATATATTTATCTAGATTTTTGTCTTACAGTATTTTTTAGTTTCCATGGGAGTGAAAGTTATCAATACAGTTGATCTTTGTTCCTAATAGATTCATCTTTGCTTATTCTTTTGTATGTTAAAATTTACTTGTAACCCTAAAGTCTGAGCACTTGCATGGTCGCTCTCAGATATGTGCATTGACACAGCAGCCCAAACTTTGACCTGCCCAAGATCCTTGTATCGGGCCTTCCTGTTTCAGCTCTCCTGCTGTTGCCAGGGGAGATCTAAGTGGAGCTGCATTGATCCTAAGCACTTAGAATGGCGTTGGGAGAACTTGTTAAGCCAGGTTTCAGACACAACCGCAGCTGATCTTTGAACGGAGCTGTCTACACCACCCCAGGACATACTGTTCTTGTTAACTGGGCCAAAATGCAATTTTCTGGAATGAAATTCACCAGTCTTTGCAACAGTTTGTGGGACTCCTCTTCCCCCTTAAAACTGTCCAGAGACTGAGAATGTGCCTATTTCCTTTCTTATAATCATAATTCCTGACAAACAAGTGGTGTAATTAGCAACCTGCCTTGCTATTTATGCTATAAAAGCAGGCATCTTCTTGCAAAACCTAAGAGCACAGTTTCATGGCTACTTAAATTCAGTGTCTCCTGGATTCCAATCCTAATAAGTCCCAAAATACATGTAATTATCCTTTGTTCTTGACTAGATTGATTTTTATCTCAGTCAACACTATAAATAAGTGTTCTTTCCATAATCTATCGAGTGCCATGTTTTTTGCACTTTTGTGATTATTTTGTTGGTGATCTTTCTTTTCAAACGGCCCCCAAATAGTCTAGTCTTTCAGAACAGAAGAAAGCTATGAGGTCTTTTAGGAACAAACTATGGAAATGATACGCTTTGTTCAAGTATGAGTTATAATGTGCTGTTGTGAGTTCAGTGTTAATGAATTAACAATAGATAGTAAGTGAGATGCCTTTAAACAGGAACTCAAGGTTATGCATTGATACACTGACAAAAATGTTGTGACCAAAGCCTTACAGGAACCCTTCCTATAATTCTTCTCAAAACAATGTTTCAGTATTCACTAATTCTGTATTTATGAGAACTTCGTAAAACATGAATACCACGAATGATGACAATTCTATTTTCTTTTATAATTTTAGGTGTGTGTGCATGTGTATTATATGCATAGAGGCCATTTGCTTTGGAAAATATTTTAAAATAAACTAATCATCATCTAGTCCTTCAATGATTTCATTTTCTTATATCTTTGCTTCATGTGGAACTTATTTTGGTGAAAGCTATAAGAAAGTAACTCTCTTATTACATGTACTATTGTGCCAAAGCCATTTATTGAAGACCCACCCCCCTACTAATTTTAAGGTCTTGGTACTTTGCTTAGATTGTGGGTAGTAAGAGTTTCAGAATCACTGCGTCTTCTGAAATCCAGCTGGTTTCTTTTTTCCCCCTTATGAGGTGCTGGGGACTGAAGCCAAGATTTCATGTATGCAGAGCACATACTCCACAACTGAATTCCATCCCCAACCTCTGAAACCAGATTTATTTTAAAAAATTTATATTACAGCGGTATTTTTCAAAGTCTCCTAATTTCAATGTGACATGTTCCTCTTCCAAAAATTCCACACTGTTTATAACCATATAACAAGCCAGGAACTGTGGACATGTATGTGTTTCTCTTACCCTTATTGAGTGGGTCAACTAGACTGAGAGATTGTAAATGCAGACTTAACGACTCTTATGGGCACAGTCAATGGCGTAATTGCTAGAAAGCAGTATCAGATAGGCATGCCTCAGTGGGAAACCAACCCATGTTAATTTTAGTCTTAGATCTACTGAGCTGTGGTTTATCACTTCTTGATTCAGAAAGATATAGCGCTAAAGTCTTTCAGACAAATCAGTGATTGTGAAAATGTTTTCCATTTAAAGCTATGCTCTAATAACAAAATAACTACATAATAAAAGAGAAGAGGTATCATGAGATTAATAAAAGGATATAAGACCTCTTCCATAGCCCCACGATTCTGGCTCTTTTACCCAAGGTGAGTCTCTACTATAAAACACATTTTATAAATATGACCATCACTACATATGAAATTATCATTGTCACTATCGTTTCTATCTTATTCATTCAATTGATTAGGTCAGCTTTGGTGGAGAATGTGCAAAGATGGACACTACCTAAATGTGGGTTTGAGGCTGTGCTCTATCTGCTTTGTGACTTGATGGTATGCATTTCTGCTATAAAAAGAGAATATTCTAGGAACGGGCAGGCCAAGGGCACCATTTCAGGCTTCTTGTTACAATAAAAATGAAAAATGAATCTGAAAAGAACAGGCGTGACAGAATATATGTCATGCTAGGGGGCACAAGCCTGGATTACCGATGTCAGCGACGAGGCTGCCTGGCTTCTGCTCCTGGAGGAACTGGCGAACTCGGGGCCAGGCTTTGCTCTGCAGGTCGCTGAAGTAGGGGGCCGTGTTCTCATACACATCATGCACGTGCTGCTTCTCCAGCAGGGCAGCTTCATGATCCATCCTGGGGAAAGCAGGACCCACCCAAGGCAAGCAGGTCAGAGAACGCACCAGAGGCGGCTGAGGGAGGTGCAGACTTCCTGAACTCGGGACCTACAACTGCAAAAGTGGTAGGGTTCTTACGCTTTCTCCATGCTGCAAGGAAACTTTCATGTAACCCCACGGTTGACAAAAGATTAGCAAAGTATGCATTTGCTAATCTTCAGAAAAGAATGGTTGGGGAATGAGCTAATCCTTGTAAGTTCCTGTGCAGATGAATTCTTAAATTTTGGAAGCTTAGGCACATTCTTACCAAATGGTTCACTTCCGATAAGATCATTCTATCTGATGCTAAATAGATTTTAACGTTTTATAACGTTAATCAAGAAGCCCTAGGAATTTTACCTTTTTAATGTCTTTGGATTTCAGCCATTTTTCCACATCCGTTACTGCTTCTGTTTTAAATAAGGTGCTGATTTCTTGCCTGAATTACTTCAACAGTCTGCAAATGCATTTTCTAACTCTTCAATGCTTTTCCCTCAATTATGCCTTAACTATTTGTGTTTCTTCCAATGTTACCACTTCTCCAAAGGCATTTTATAGTGCAGTTGGTGTAGGAGGTCATGCAGAGCCTTTCTGATCTGGCCTCAACTTACCTCTTAGGATTCATTTCTCACATCTTCCCCCTGGGTATCAAAGAGCCTGGAACACCCAATGATCCATGGTTTCTCATAAGTGATACATTCCCTGACATCCAGGGCCCTGAATAGATTCTGTGCTTTATGCGGCTGACTTCTATTCATTCTTGGCATAAGCCTCACTTCCTCCAGGAAGGCTTCCCTGACCTTCCTTGTGAGACGGGGTCAATTAGAAAGGAATAAGAATGGTACAAGGGCAGGTCCTGCTTAGCACTTAATCCTTTATTCTAGTGTGACATATGAGTGAGGGGCAGCCCAGGGAAAAGGCCCTTTTTGGTGGCTTTTACCAATCAGCATTAAAGTATTTTCAATAATTAAAAAACCCATTTGTCCCTACTTGTGCCTAACAGCTAGCTCAGCACTTTCCCTTGGACAATTGCCTCTCTTGTATATCTATATGTGTCACGAAGTTCTGTGATAGTTGTATTTAGATATGCATTTCTACCATTAGCTGGAAGGCCCTAAAGGGCAGGGACTTGTCTTATATAATGCTGAATCTTTAGCACTTAGGCAGAGTAGGCCCCCAACAAATGTCACACAGGAGAATGAGGCAAAGGGGGGGACCCTCCACTGCCAAGAGTGCTTGTTCAGTGTGACAAAAGGAAAGTATTGTCCCTGGATAGCTTCTGTCCTCTCTTCCCTACCTCCAGCCTGTGAAGTGGGAGGCACTTGGGTAAAATGGCATCTACCAGGTCATGTCACTGTAAAGTACCTTTTATAAATTTAACAAATATCTGGTGGAGAGATACTTTGTGACTCCCACGCATTCTGTTTTTCATATGTTCATCTCCCGTTTAAGCATCCACTGTTGATTCTTGCACAAAACAATCATTCCCACCAGTATCACCAAATTCCCATGTACCTAATTCCATCATTCCTTCTACTGCAAAAGAGAGAGAGAGAGAGAGAGAGAGAGAGAGAGAGAGAGAGAGAGAGAGAGAGAGAGAGAGAGAGAGATTGATTTTGGGGGGATTTATTCTTTAGAAGCAATAGGCTGTCTTTTATCTTGGTGGGCCTGCCCACAGTCCCTTCAAAACGCCCTACCAGACTGCTAACCATATAAATCTAATCTGTGAGGCCTGACAAAACTTCCACCCAAATTGAAAGATTTTTATGTGGCACCTTCAAATGGAATTTACAAAGTAAATATATGGCTGGCTTTTACTGCTCACATAGGAGAAATATCCAAACACTGCATGCTTTTCTTTTAAATCAAAAATCTCAATAGATTTAAGTCTATTTAAATTCCCCCCTCAAGAAATCAACCAGGTGGTATAATTTGGAGAACCCTGGAACAAATACATTTAATTTTATTGTACTTGCAAATGTTAAGTGACAACTGACATAAACTTGATTCCTTCCAATTTGCATTTAAGAAATGGTTCCAATTTAAGCTCAGAATGTGTAGTATCAGAACAGCACTACTTGGAGACATTTCTCTTAATTCTCCCCCAAGTTGCCTGGCCTTGACTATAAGTAACCTTGAGACTGCTGTTCTTAAATGAGTTGGCAATATGAATCCATTTCATTTTTATTATATTTTATAGTTAAGTTTAAATGCTGCAGAATAAATTGCTGACCATGAATATTGATTTATATAGTCGGGGTATCCAAAATGCTATTTCTAAAACTCTCTGGATTTAAATTTCCTATAATACATTTCTTTTTTGGTAGATGGACACAATACATTTATTTATTTAATGTGTTGCTGAGGATCAAATCCAGTGCCTCACACATGCTAGGCGAGTGCTCTACCACTGAGCCCAAGCCCCAGCCCCTCCAATAAAATTTTCTCTGTGAGTGTTTTATATACTATAAAAGCAAATTCCTTGTGAATTTGGTAGCATGAGTAAGATAATAGTAAAATAAGAATGACAGGTACTGTGACACATGCCTGTAATCCCAGTGACTGAAGAGGCTATGATAGGAGGATCGCAAGTTGCAGGCCAGCCTCAGCGACTTAGTGAGGCCCTAAGCAATTTAGCAAGGTCCTGTCTCAAAATAAAACATAAAATGGGTAGGGGATGTAGCTCAGTGGTAAAGCATCCCTGGGTTCTATCCCTAATACCAAAATAAATAGATAAATAATAAAAAGAAAAGAAAAAAAGGAGACAGGATTCCAGTTGAAGCAAGAATATGGAATCAGTTCAGTCAAGTTTCCCAACCTGTGTACTACCAAATTCCAGAGCAATAAAATGTTCCAGATGAAGGGGTCAAGGGTCAAAACCTCAGATTTTGCCCCTTCTTTGATATCCAAAATGTACATTACCATACTATAGGTTTGAGAAACCTGCTAAAGTGTTCCAATTGATTTTTTTTTAAATTTGGTTTTCTCAAAATCATTGTGCCTATAATGCTTTTTTTCTTTCTTTAAATATCTCTTGTCTTCTTATAGAACTATATTCTGCAGGTGACATTTTGGGAAATGTTACTCTAATGTTTTCCAATTTAAGAGTATCCCCAGAACAAAGGGAACTATATTCCCTGGGTATCCTTCAATATTCATGTAATTTTAAGTGAAGAGTCAGAAGGAAGCCTAACAGTTGCTCATTACCGTGTATCTGAGAGAAGCTGCTTCTGAAGCACATGCTAGATGCTAGCTATGCTGGCTGGACCCACACTGAAAACTGGATCCACAGGGAGACAGTTCATGCGTGAGGCTGGTCCAGCCTTAAGGAGCTGAACTAAGGACCTGCATAGTCAGATGCCTGCAGGTGGTTGGATGTGGTCACCTGGAGCCTGTGTTTGGGAATCTATTTTAAACCATGCACATGTAGATGAATCAGGAGAAAACTGATCTGAAAAATAAATGTAGCTATAGTGAGAAAAGCAGGACACGGTCTTTTTATAAAGATTGTGGAGAGGAGAAAGAGAAACTGAGAGGGATAACTTATATCTGATCTTCTTGTTTATTTTTTATGTTTTTTGGTACCAGGGATTGAACCCAGGGGCACTCAACCACTAGGCCACATCCCCAACCTTTTTTTTTTGTATTTTATTTAGAGACAGGGTGTCACTGAGTTGCTTAGGCCCTCACTAAGTTGCTGAGGCTGGCTTTGAACTTGTGACCCCCCCCCCCCACCCCCAGCCTCTAGATCAGCTGGGTTACAGGCGATGCTCCACTGTGCCTGGCTTATCTGATCTTAGTGTTTTAGTTCCTGTGTGGGGTCTAGGCAGCAGCTCAGGGTAACTCAACTCCAAGAAACCTGTTGACTTTATAGGACTGGGCTTGCTTTTGATGTACTTCATTCCCTAACTTTGACTCTCCATCACATCCCGTTTTAGCTGTAAAATATTCTTCACTTCAACTTATTTCTGTTTCTTTTAACTACATCTTTCCTATGCAGGTACACTGTTTTTAATTAAAGAATATTTCAAAACATTGAAAAGTAAAATATGATTTTACACTTCAAATAATTAGTGTTCTGGATGCTGACATGTATTGTTACAATATCTTACCTTCATTGCTACTATTCCAGCAGTCTTGTAAAGCTTACAATGGAACTTTGAAATAAACAAACAAACAAAAAAATAGAATGCTAACAGTCAAAAGAAATCATAAAAATTAGAACAAAACCAGTAAGTAAGGGTTGGAGATGTGACTCAGTGTTGGAGCACTTTCCTGGCATGCACAAGGCCCTGGATTCAATCCTCAACACTAAAAAACAAACAGCAACAACAAAACACCACAAGCAAAACTGAGAACAGAAAGTAGTAACAAATTTTGCCAGGAAGCTGATGGAAGCACACAAGAGCCCCCTGGGTATTAAATCAACTCTGCTGTCCCTCCCCTTCCCTGACAAACTCTGCTTGCCCTCCCTAGGTCTCGGACTGGTATTCAGGAACATGCTGCTTTTAGCTACTTCTTAATACTTCCTATACTTCTTCATGACCTATCAATCATTTGCAAATCTTTCTTATTCTGACTCTAAAAAAAGCCCAGTCTGTGCTTTCCCTTCCTGTTTGCTTCTATTGCAGGCATCCTGCTGACGCTTCAGAGTTCAAGTTCTTTTTGTTTTCTTAATCTCTGAAGTAATTTAAAAGATTTTTTCCCCCTAATTATCAGAGAAAGCCTAAATGTACTAGATTCTGATTAGTGTCTGCCAGAGCTTGAGATAGAGGGTCGGAACTGACTGCAAAGGGGAATGAGGATATTTTTCAGGGTGACAGAAATAGTCCATGTTTTGATTGTAGTGTTGGTTATGCAACTTTTATTGTTGTGGTTTTCTTGCAGTGCTGAGGCTGGAACTCAGGGCCTGTGCATGCTAGGCAACCTTGCTACCACTGAGCTACACCCCCAAACCTGGTTTCATTAACTTTTGGTATA